ACAAGAGTAACTTGTTTTTGTTCTTTTGGTCATCAATACATGTGGGCTTATCTTCGGTGCAATAACATTTAAATATAGGGGTAATTATAAAAATGTCATTTTTGTGTGTATATTTGCAAGAAAACTATTTAAGGGTGTTCATTTACAAAAATACCACTAATTATAGATTTATAAAGCATATATCTTAAAATTCTAAACCCTAAAAAATGTTGAGAAATTTCAAAAAATGCCACTTTTCAAGTGCCACTTTACAAAAATATCACACTTTTGAAATCTTTACAAAATTGCCACTTTTTCAAAATTATTTTTTTTATATTATTTATGTTTGGGTTAATTATTTTCTGTTAGAGTTTAGTTTTGAGTGTTTAGGGGGTTTTAGGTGTGAAAACATTTTTTAGGGTTTAGAATTTTAAGATATAGGCTTTATAAATCTATAATTAGTGACATTTTTATAAATAGACACCCCTAAGTAGCATTTTTGCAAATGTGCACACAAAAAGTGGTATTTTTGTAATTGCCTCAAAAATATTTTGACACCTAAAACCCCCTAAACACTCAAAACTAAACCTTAATAGAGCATAATTAATCAAAACATAAGTAATATAAATTATTTTTTTTTGAAAAAATGGTATTTTTGTAAAGATTTTAAAAATATGGTATTTTTGTAAATTGGCATTCGAAAAAATAGCATTTTTTGAAATTTTTCTATATACACCCGTGAACAAAGAAAAACAGAAGTGTTGCTTCGATCATCAATTAAAGATGCAACTCCCGAAATTCCCGCCGGGCATGTAACATATTGGATTCATCCATTTAATTCTTCTAAAAGTTATTACATTGTTACAAAAGTTTATTATCTTTAAAGTCGGTCGTTATGTTTGTTAGTGAATGAATTAATATACGTACGTATGCGTATTTCTGAAAGTATTCCAACGCGATACATGCATTATATATAAAAATACACACTTATCTCCAACACACACCACACATATAGTGTGCTTAATAATTATATTACCAGGAAGAAATAAAAC